AACAGAGCTGTTATTTACTAATTTGCAGAATTGTTAATCGGTTAATTGTTTCTACTGATATCACATTGCAAAATAAATATACTTTTTGTGTCTCCGTATCCCTAGTTAAGTTAAATTAATTATTATAATTTATTAAGTATTCTATATTTTAAATAAATGATTCTAGATTTTATATAAAAAAATATAAATATTATATTATAAAATTAATTTCCGAAACTCGTTTTGGCGCCCCCTAAGACTTGCGCCCGCATTTTTTGCTTGCATCGCATGCAAGGCAGGACCGGCCCTGCATATATATATATATACATATATATATATATATATATATAGACATATACATACACACATATATATATATACATATACATATACATATACACATATATACATATATATATATATATATATATATATATACATACAAACATGTACATGCATACGTACATATATATACACAATATATATATATATATATATATATATATATATATTAGGGTGGTCCTTAAAATGATAATTTTCGAATTTCCTTGCTCCCAGGGGCTCAAATGGTTCCAAATTGATAAAAAACAATTCTCTGAAAGTTTTAGCTCTTAAAATTAACGTTTAGATAGAGCGCAATTCAATCAAAGTTTTGTATGGAAATAGCATGGAAAATTTTCAAAAATTTTAAAAATGTTTTTCAGGTGTAATTTAGCAAACAAATGAATTAATAAAACTCATTCATTTGTCGCTAGGTTATACCTAAAACATTTTTTTTTAATTTTCAAAATTTTTTCCATGCTCTTTCCATACAAACTTTGATGGAATTGCGCTCTATCTAAACGTTAATATTAAAAGCTAAAACTTTCAGAAAATTGTTTTTTATCAATTTGGAACCATTTGAGCCCCTGGGAGCAAGGAAATTCGAAAATGACCATTTTAAGGACCACCCTAATATATATATTGAAATGAACAAAACAGCCAATGCGTCGAATGTAAACTTTGACGCATTGGCTGTTTTATTCATTTCAATATGTTTCAACGTCGAACAAAAAATCTTCAATATATATATATATATATATATATATATATATATATATATATATAAATAAATAAGATAACTAGTTGGTTTGGTATTTAGCCTTGAGGCAAGTTACATGAACTTCCCGAAATGTGTAAATAATCGACTTAATCAAAAAAAATGTGTAAATAATATACTTCATTAATCCTACTTTAAAAAAAACGATAATAATTTTAGCAAACTTTGACGAATTTTTAAAATTAAACTACTTGTCGTTAGGCCGTAATATTACAGTAAGTTCTATAAGACCATGATGTATATCGCCAAAAAAATTTCCATGAAAATCGGCTTAAATTTTTTTTTCAACAGTTAATTACAAGAAAACGGCTCGGTAGATTTTCACCTAAAATTAATCAGTATCATTCCCAACTAATATCTTCCGAACAGTTTTCGATATTTTAAAATCGGTTCGGTAGGATGAGCTTAAATGTCGACGAAAATTTAACACTTTTTTTCAACAGTTAATTACAAGAAAACGGCTCGGTAGATTTTCACCTAAAATGAATCAGTATCATTCCCAACTAATATCTTTCGAACAGTTTTTGATTTTTTAAAATCGTTCGGTAGGATGAGCTTAAATGTGGACGAAAAGTTTTTTTCAAATTACAAAGAAACGGCTTGGCAGATCGTTGCACAAAACTGACAAACGATAGTCCTCACAGAAATACATCAAATGGCTTTTAAATTTCTAAAATCGGTTCAGGCGTTTTTGAGAAAACGTCGATCAAAAGTCTAATTTTGACAAATGCCAAAAAGACCATACTGATTTTTGCAAACTTTGACGAATTTTTAAAGCTGAACCAGTTGTCGTAGGGCCGTAATATTTTAGTATGATCTAGAAGACTATGGTATCTACCGTCAAAAAAATAATCATGAAAATCGTCGAAATTTTTTTTTTAAAAACTTTATTACAAGAAAACGGCCCGGCCGATCTCTACCAAAAACTAATCAGCACGATTAGTCAATATCTTTCGAACGGTTTTTGAATTTTCTTAATCGGTTCAGAATTGCGGGCTAAAACGTGCACGAAAAATTTTTCACTTTTCTGCTATTTATAAAGAAACGTCTCGGCCGATCGTCCCACAAAACTGACAAACGATAGTCCTCGTCGAGATGCATCGAATGGCTTTTAAATTTTTGAAATCGGCCCAGCCGTTTTCGAGAAAACGTCGATTTACGGCAAAAAATCTGTTCACACACACATACACACACACACACATACTTTTTCCAAATTTGGTCTCATTCGATTCAGAATGGCTTGAAACGTCGAGAAAACATAAAATTAGAGAATCGGATTTTTTTATGAAAACATAAACTTCTCCTTCGGGAAGTTAAAAATGAAGCTTACATTGAACATGGTATTTTATATCTAAAAATGTGTACACATCACAGAATTTTGCACTAACATTGATACAACTAACCATTCGATAATCATAATTTATTTTAATAAAAAAAATAATGAGAGTTTTGTTTTGCAAAACTGTGGAAAAAAATTTTAAGTATTTTTGCACAGAGGCTCGCCCGTAGGTAATCGGTTAAGAGCAATGGGACTTGTTTCAGAGGTCCCGGGTTCGATACCCACTTCGAGCAGCCTGTTGTCAGGCAACATTGACAACGATTTTCACTTGGAAATATAGATAGCAATATGTTTCCAAGTGAAAATAGCCCTCACCCGGCGTTGTTGCACTATACTTGCCCTATTACAGAGATTGTAATAAAAATTTATCATACAGAGATGTGACAACTGTTTGGGTTGCCATCTGTAATAAAACAAACGTAGTTAGTAAGATCTTAATCACAACAATTCATAGAACCCATTAGTTCTGATCGCTGTTCAAATAAAATTATAAAAAAAAATTGCACAGACCGGAGGCTATGTAATCGCTGCAAATCCCGAGGCAAAAGTAAACACATGTGGCATTTTTTTTTTTTTCGAGGACACTAAAAGGTTTTTACAATCAACGTAGCAATGTGTGGGTGAGTAAGGCTTGGTTTTTATGCTCGGAATTGACTGTATAAGGTTAGGTAAGGTTTACATGAACGGATTTAGTTTTAAACAATTAATAAAAATAAAAAAATAAATAAAAAAAAACGAAAAAATAAATTTGGCGACAATATTACACGGGTTTAGTTTTACTCAATGGAAATAAATTTAGAAACGTTATTAAGTATAACTTGGTAATTTTCGCAGAATAAGAAGGTATCATTTCTTTTGTTTACACTATTTTTAATCAAGGTTATGTAACAAGATTCTGCAAAGCGTCTCTGAATTGTGTTTCGTGCGTGAAAGAATACGGGCATTATAAAAGTTAAATGTGTGTGTAAAATTTTTGATGTGGTCTGTAATCATCGTTTGGCTTTGGTTAGGGTATTTAGAATTATTGTCATGTTGTTTAAGTCTTTTTATCAGATTTTGTCCATTTTCACCCACATAAGACGAAGGGCAATTATTGCAATTTATTTTGTAGAAAAAACACGGTACAAATTTATAAAAAAAATAATATGTATTTTAAGTCAAAAACCTACTCCGCCCATATAAATGAATTAGTTTTTGTTTCTCCATTAATTTAACTAGTGGTGCATGGCATCGTGCCTTGAGGCATTTTTCTGTAAATTGCCATACCAAAAATATTTTTTTAAAAGTTATTTTTTTTTTATAAAAAAAAGCTATGAAAAAATCGATTTTTGAGAATTTTAAAAAATAATAAAATTTATTTGTTTTTTCAAGAAAATTCGATTTGCTAGTTTTATCTTTTTTCGACGTTTTAAGTTATTCTGAATCATTTAATTGGAAAAAATTATATGTATACCCATACACTCTCATATGGGTATACATATAAGCCTTAATTTTACTTTTTATCGACGTTTAGGATAACTATTTCTGGATAACAAATTTAAAATTTGTTTAGGTCATTGATGATACTCGATATAAATTGTTTTGATTAGTTTTACGAGAGAATCAGCAAATCAATTCTTTACAATTAGTAGAATATTGCAACATTTTTCGTCTACGTTTTCGTAAAAATCCTGAACCATCTTTGAAAATTTGAAAGTTGAAAGATATAGTGGCAAATTGTGCAGATTATTTTTAGCGATTAGATTATTATCACAAATTATCGATATTTATCAATTCGATTATTTACACAAAATAATACTTAAACTTAGTTACATTTTAAAATTTATGTTTGCAAAATGGCAATGTAATTTCCATAACATTTAGATTTGAAATTTTCTATTTAAATATTCAAAATTGACTCAAAAACTTTTAAACGAATAGACAAGTGTCAAATGTTAATTAATAATATTAAATGAACTAACCCAAATTTCTTCATTAAGTACAGGCCACTCTCTTCTTAATTCACAAGATATTAAGCACTTCTGAGTAATTAACGAAAACATTGTGCTTTAAAATGCAATCGCAATTAGGTTTTTCTGAACCTTAGACTAATTTTCAGATTTGACTTATTCAATATGACACCGTTGAACAACTATAAATATGACATGAAGTTTAATTAAAATAAAGAATACTTAATTTCCGGCGAAATATTTTTCTAAATTATTAAACAATTTATCAAAATTTATTAGCAAAGCCTGACTTTTATTGGCTTAAACTAATTACAAAAGCAAGTTAATTATCTATATTCACTATTTAAAAAAAAATTTTTTTTAAACGTATAAATTATAATGAGGACTGCCATCCTTAAATTATAATAATAAAATTGATTTTTAATTTATCTAAATTTTTCATAATAACAGAAAACAAATTATTTATTTTCAGATTTTTTTAACATTTAAATACCTTACAATCAATTTCTCCAAATTTTCTTCAAAATTCGCTCTATTAAATCTAGCGGTTCGATCATTTTTCCTATATGGTTGGTGCACCTGTAGCATGTAAAAGATTAGATAATCACTGTATTTTTATGTTGGTCATTTTTGACATCTTTAACATTTTGCATTCTGTCAATGTCTATTTAAAGCAGTAATTTGTATTTATTAGTTAAAATAATTTTCATTCATTATGGCTGCTTTAATACGTTTTCATAGATGTGCATTACGTAGTTTTCTTTCCTCTCACAATACTGCTAGATTCATATCTACTTCAAAGAAAAATCGTGATACTGTCACTACAAATTATGAAACTACAGCCACAGATAAACCAAACGAAGTTATTAAAAAGAACTGGGTCAGTTATGGATTTGATTGGAAAGATGAGAAAGAGGATCTCAATGTTATGCACAACACATTCTTTTTTGCTATAACTTTATGTACCATTGTCGGCGGTTTTGTATGGACATACCTACCGGACCCTCAGATGAGAGATTGGGCACAGCGTGAAGCATTCTTAGAATTACGAAGAAGAGAAGAATTAGGATTACCTTTAATTGACAAAAATCTAATAGATCCTAGCCTCATACAGCTACCAACTGATGAAGAACTTGGAGACACAGAGATAATTATATAATGCTGTAAGTTACATGCTTTAGGTAAATTCTACTCAGCTGAGTCGATGAATAGCAGTTTCTTATGAAAGTCATTATGTAATGTCTTATTGTAAATATATATTTAAGAAATATGATATCTTTTTATTTAAAAAATATTTTGAATTAATTAAATTAAACATTTTCAATATTATGGAAGTAAAACAGATTGCAAAATCTGAGATATTTATTTCTCATTATAATTTAATATCATATACAAAACAATTATATGCCAGCATATACAAACATGAACTACAATTCACTCAAAGCTTATGTTCAAAATTTAACAGATATAAGCTAATTGTTTTTATAACAATCAGTTCACTCCTCTTATACAGATCTTACGTGATTTTTATCTAAAAAAAAAAAAAACATTCATAGCTTTATTTAATGTTGATTCCTTTTTTCTGCTTCTATAACTTGTAAACATTCCAAGGTGGCTATTGGCAATGTAGCACTTACGGTTATAGGAGGCATTCCAGGTAAATTAATGGGAGTAGTTAAAGGCATACCACTTTGGTAATTAAAAGGATAATTAATTTGATTTGCACTTGGGGGAACATTATTTATCATTGTAGCTGAATTATAAACAGGAACAGTAGAATATGGTGCATTTGGCATTGAAAATCCAGATGATGGCTGAATTCCCATAGAAGGTCCATTTATAGACACAGTAGGTCTTAACACGCTATTGACACCGGAGCTTTCATGATGTGAAGGTAGTTGCTGGCTGGTAGCTCCAATTTCTGGAAGATCTGAGAAAATCATGATGTTACTTCATAGCATTAACTATGCATAAATATGAAATTAAACATTTCTTCAGTGACTACAACTGTGTATGTATATATATATATATATATATATATATATATATATATAGTAGTAGGAGTACTGCACTGAAGCAGGTATGTGAGCTGAGTTAAACTCCAACTCGATTTAGGGAAGAGGTTGTGTGAGAGTTTTAACATATTTTGATCTACAATTTTAATTGAAAATGAACATCGCGCTGCCCGAGCGGGGATCGAACGCGCGACCCCATACCCATCGGTCCGCGCGTTTACGATATATATATATATATATATATATATATATATATATATATATATATATATATATATATATATATATATATATTAGTGATGTGCCAAGTCGAATCAAGTGATTTGAATCATTCGAATCAAGCCTTTAATGACTTGATTCGAATCAGATTTTACTTGATTCGAATCAACTCGTTCAAGCCGCGAAATATTTACTGTGATAAAATATGTATGAACACAAATTTTTCATAAATATGAATATAAAAAAATGTTTTAATTTAATTCAATATTATAATAATATAAAAAATAAATATCATAAATATAAAATATAAATCATGAATTAAATCATGCGAGCCACCCGACTTTAATATGCTTAAATGTATCAGCCGACTCTAATCGACTTTATATGACTTTAACCGCATTCATCGACTAACTATATCATCCGACTTCATTTACGACAAATTATGAAACGAGTTTCGGGAATCTTTCAATATAATTCTCTTTTGAAACAATTACTAAACACCAGAAAACCAGTAAATAATATGTTAACTTTTGATTATGTAAGTAATGGCAAATTCACATTAATGAAATTAACTTTCAGCTCTCTGTTTAAATGCCATCCTTTACTGATTATACAGTAAACAATCGACCCATGATTCCAAATATTATTTTATATGCTTTAGTGATGCACAATTGTTTGGTAATCGATTATTGTAAAAAGCAAACAAGCGGAAGGGAGATATTTGACAACCTAATATACATAGAGCCGGTCCTAGGGGTCCTCAGCACGCGCATGCAATTTTTTTTCTAGCAACCGCCCCCTCCAATAATTTTAACTGTTTTAACAGTTATCTTAAAAATTATATAAATATTTGTCATTTTTTAAAATTAATATTCAATCATTCTGGATATAGTACACAAAAAAATAGATATAATCAAAAGGTGATTCAAATATTTTTGAATTATTAACTATCTCTAATATATGTGTAAAATTAGTATTTGGGTTTTTGAAACATTTTACTTACTTATTATGCGATTTATTCTATTAAGCATATCATGCCAAGAAAGAAAAATCAATCAACCTTTCATTTTTAAATGAACATTCGTATTTCATGTTGGATTTTTTAAATTTTAATTAAATTAAATTTTTCGTTATTTACGATATCCAAAATTGCATTGTTTATTTCTCCCTTATTGATATCGTAACAACAGAGCTGTATTCATCTTTGCTATCTCACCAGATTCAGAGTATCCAGTATTGTCCAAAGATTCGTAAAAGGTACAAAAAAATTACATATTTCTTGGACTACATTGAAAAAAAAAGAAACTAATTATATTACAAAAAAGCTCAGCGATTTTTGTTCCAAAGTGAATTTTGCTTCTATTTTCCATATTTGCTCCACTTCTGTAACCCTAACCAAGCATGTCTTCAACATTCAAAGTTCATCGAATGTGAAACATTTGCAACAAAAACAAAAGTTACAATTCAATTTCTCGGAATAAATATAATACTGACCCCCCTTTTTCCATTTTTCTCTATTATAATTTGTATCTATTTTTTTTAACAAGTTCCGTTTCAACTAAATTCGCAATTTTTCGTCAATAATGCTCAATAATTTAATCTTTTGCAGGCCCGCGCTTACGAGATTGAACATTAGATAATTTCTTTTTCGATTCCATGTTAAGCAATAAGCAGAACAATAATTTACTAATTTGCAGAGTTATTAAATAAATTTTAATTAAATTAAATTTTTCGTTATTTACGATATCCAAAATTGCATTGTTTATTTCTCCTTATTGATATCGTAACAACAGAGCTGTATTCATCTTTGCTATCTCACCAGATTCAGAGTATCCAGTATTGTCCAAAGATTCGTAAAAGGTACAAAAAAATTACATATTTCTTGGATTACATTGAAAAAAAAAAAACTAATTATATTACAAAAAAGCTCAGCGATTTTTGTTCCAAAGTGAATTTTGCTTCTATTTTCCAAATTTGCTCCATTTCTGTAACCCTAACCAAGCATGTCTTCAACATTCAAAGTTCATATATATAGTTGAGTTCTGGATTTGCAAATGTTGTGTTGCGCTTTAACACATAGAAGACCTATATATATATACAATACAATACATGAAAGTTGAATGTATCGCCTTAAAAGAACTTACTCATATATATATAGTAAAAGTAAATAAAGTTAACTTACTCATATATAAAGTAAAAAAAAAAAATAATAAAGTAAAGATTTTTTCAAAACATCTTTATTTATCCATACGTTTCGACGTAAAATTCTACGTCATCTTCAGTGGTTCTGCAATTTAAAAAACAGAAAGTAACGTTACAATTTGAATATACATAAGCAATAGTAACAAGAAAAGTTTTAACTAAAGAGAATTGCAAAAAACATTACTTACTTGAATTATTTATATTATCACTAACACATATTAATATAACTTGCAAAAATTAATAATTATAGACAAGCACTAACTGTCAGTAATTTCTTTTTTTTAATAAAAAGAATAAAAGATAAAAAGTGATTAATAAATAAAATATTATACGTAATACACTTGCATCCGAGGCCAGTGCCAAACAGAATAATATGTTTGTAAGTATCCTAGATGTGAAGTCAAAATTTTAGAAAAAACAAACACATGTGCTGGTTTTTTGACCGAACGTCTTGGCGCGCTAAGCAAGTGTGCGTGATAGTGTTGTGCAACCGTGGTGTTAGGTATTCGATATGAATTGGGAAACATTATTTAGAACAAATTGGTAATTTTCGCAAATGAAGCTAGTGTCTGTGCGTTTATTTAAACAATTATTTCTGTTCAAGAAAATATAGGCCGATTCTGAAAAGCGCCTTTGTGAGACTTTCGATTCGTGATGAAGAACCTTTGCGTCATAAAAATTGAAAGTATGGTTATTTAGTTTTAAATGTTCTGTGATCAACTGTACTGAAGATGACGTAGAATTTTACGTCGAAACGTATGGATAAATAAAGACGTTTTGAAAAAATCTTTACTTTATTATTTTTTTTTTTACTTGATGTTACGCCCTCCAAGAAATCTATCATACATTTCAACATCAAATTTAAACATTTTCAACATATATATATATATATATATATATATATATATATATATATATATATATATATATATATATATATATATGCCCGATTCTAAATAACTCATCAAAATATATATATATATATATATATATATATATATAGTAGGTAACTCTGGAAACATTGTTTAGCCATGAAAAATCTTTTTAGAAGAATTTTAGTATAAAATATGTCATTGTGAATGTGAAAGTATGTGGTATGTATATAAGTGAAAGGCTGCTAACACAAATTACATTATTCACTGCAAAACGTGCCACATAGAAATTTCATGGGGTATATTGCTAATCATTGCAAGTGCTACCTTAATCTGAAACTGATTTCATTTAAATTGAATTGACACATTTGAAGATCCAATGTTTTGATATATTACCGCACTATTCATTCACTTAAACTTTTTTTTGAATCGGATCATTTTTCATATTTCATATTTTAATTATGCAGTAGCAGACTTAGCGTATTGAGTGAGATTTCATAACTTAGAAACCTGTACAGTGTTGGCATATCTTTGTATGATTACTTCTCAAACACTGTTGTATGTTCAGATTTTAATTATTTAAGCATCTCGAATAAGACCCTCTCGCTCGATACAATATTCTGTTTTCACTTTGAATGAGACTGTCTCGCTTAATAATTGTTTCGACTTTTTCTATCGCGAGTACTACATGCGCCTTTATTCATATATTATCTTAAAATTTCTGTCTACAGCAATAATTATTAGCCATTTTGCATCTATATATATATATATATATATATATATATATATATATATATATATATATATATGAATGTGAGCACAAATAGTCTATAGAAATATCGAATTGTTGAATAGATTATTATTTCATAGAGCTTATAAATTTGTACTTGTAAGTTTTTTTTTTTTAAATTAGAATTTTTATATTTTAAAAAAATATTTTTTTTCAATTTTTATGTTGTTTTGACTTTATATTATGATTTCTACGATATTAATGTTAATTAAATACACAAAAAAACCTGCTTATTTTTTGACCTCACTTCCAAAAAAAAAAACCCTAGCATTAAGTGGTTAATATTCAATCTTTACATTTGCTAAAATTGATCTTCAAATCATTCATGATATATTTGTATAATAATTTGATGCATCTAGTTTTATTGATAGTAAGCTTAAAAAAGTATTAAAATAGGAAAGTTGTGTGTTATAACAAAACCTACAAATCGGTCAAACCGCTTCTGAGAAGTATTGCCACTAACATCAAGACATGAGAATTTTATATACATAATATGTATATACATATATCTTATATATAAAATTTCCATGTAAGAATGCTCATTCCCATACTCTTCCAAAATGGTTTTAGGGGTTTTTGTCAAATTTTATAGGTTTGAGAAGCGGCTACTATCTATTATTCATGCATCTAAATGATAAGGGTCGTTCACTAATGATTTTTTTATTATTTTGACATAATTTTAGTTAATATTTTTGAGCTTGAAAAAAAATCTTGAATGTAACTTTGAAAAAAAAATCTTAAATGTAACTTTGAAAAAAAAATCTTGAATGTAACTTTGAAAAACAATTTATTTTTATTAAGGGGATTGTCCAGCCCTAATCCTTTTTTTTTATTTTGAAGTTAATTTTCCTTATTTAATTTTTATTAATATGGAATTGAAAAATATATACAACCCTTTACATCAAAAAACTGTTTATTTTCATCAAGGTTCCCTAACATTTTTTATTTTTAGACCAATTTTCTTTTCAATATTAAAATTCGAAATTGAAAAATACATGAAACTCATTTTACTTTAAAAAATTATTTATTTATTTTTGTCAACTCTCAATTTTTTAAATCTCAGTCAAACAGCTTGGCATGCCACATAACAATATAAAATGAATGATCAGAATTAATGAAAAGGTTGGTATTTGAAAAGACTATTAATATGACCCAGGACCATTTATATGTGGCATATTTTGCAGTGGGTAAACTATTCATACATTTTTGTTAGCTGCCCATTTTCACTTATATACCATATTTGCAATCAGTTATTTTTATACTAAACATTTTATACCAAAAATATTTTTTGTTGGATCAGCTAGTGTATATATATATATATATATATATATATATATATATATATATATATATATATATATATATATATAATATATACATAACCTACTGCAATAAAAATGTAATTGTAATTGTAAATGTAATGCAATTATAATTTAGTCTTCAGCTTAACTGAAGTTACTGTTTTTCTAAAAAGCATATGAAAGGTCATTTTGGTTTGAAAACATTAAAACTCACATATTACATAGCATAAATTTACCTAACGATGGTTTATCAAAAAATTGCTGACTAATAAAATTTGCAGATTGTATAGTTGTACTTCCACCAACAGTTGTTGGATGAGGTTGCTCTGAAGAATTACTAATTCTGGGCTTGTTAATGTCACTACAATTACTATCTAATTTAAGACCGGGAATATTGTAAGGTGTTGGACTTATAGGTGTCCCATCAGCATTAGTAGTTATAGGCCGACCACCTGAAAGAAATTGTAGAATTCATGATTCTTACCACTTAATATTAAATTGTAAATCATTTTTTACCTTGTGTAAGAGGTACACCGCTTGCAAAAGATAATGGACTAACTGAATTATCATTTACAGACAAATTGCTCAAGCCTGATGACAAAGTAGAAACATTAGCATGTTTACTGACGTGCATGGGAGTCATTTCTGGTGTAGATTTTGTAGCAGGATGTGGTGGCAAAACTCTGATGGGTATTCTGTGAAGATATCCATACCCTATTCCGCAACCTAAACTACCTTCACCGCCCCAATTTGATCTAGGTGTTATGGAAACCTATAATAAAATATTAAATCAATTTTCCTTAATTTTTGCTAATAATAGAGAGTTACAAATAATATAATTAAAATCATTAAGTAATTATAAATAATTCATATTTTTGAACATACAATAAGTAAGCCTATTCTGGGATTAGCTTTATCCTATTTCTCACATATCGAACAAGTTAAGTTACATACACATTAGCAGAGCTGCATTACAACTAAGTTCATCGAAGTATAGGTCTAAAAATGTTTTATAATTTATGCAGAATATGGATCCATTAAAAAAAACTTCATGAAAACTATTTAGACTCAATTAAGGTATGGACATTTTCATATAGACAAGATAATGTGAAAATGGTTCAAATGATCTTAATTACCTCACGGCATGCATCATCATTTGTATTATAAACATATAGCTTTAGAGGTTTATTTTCATGACTTTCAATTAGATTGAACAAATCTTCACTCTCATGTAGTATTGAATCTGCTCCAATAATATAGTCAGTAAACGGTTTCAAGCCAGCAAGTTCTGCTGGAGATGATGGATGAATCTCCTAAACAGTAACAATGGTCATTTAATATTTGTTGCATATTTGAAAATAAAATAAACTTACCATAACATGCCAAACGTTTTCATTAGCTCCTTCAAAAGAACAAAATTTGATACTGACGCCCAAAAGACCTTGACCACCCCAGCTTGTACTTGGAACTATTTGGATCTCCCGAATAATTTGGGTTTTGCTACTGTACACTGTCATAGTAATTACTTTGTCAACACTGTTCTTAAGTAATTCCTTAAGTGTATCATTATCTTGGTCAAGTCTAGTTTTATTAATTGCTACTATAAAGTCAAAAAATGCCTCCAAACCAGCTTTTTGTCCAGGGGAACCTTCTTGAACCTAAATAAAAAGAGAACACATTCAATATTAAAAACAAATAATACATAGGTAATAGTGTTTTGTTGGTGCATAACACACTGGTAGTTAATATATATACGTATATATATATATATATATATATATATATATATATATATCGAGAATTTTTTGTTCGACGTTGAAACATATTGAAATGAATAAAACAGCCAATGTGTCGAATGTAGAAAATTTATTTTAATTTTTCACACGTGTTGAGACTAGATGTGTCTCATCATTCAGGTAAAAGAAATTTACATTATAAAGAAAAAGTTTTTAAAATATATATATACACCTAAGTCTGTTTTTACACGGTAGATTGGTTCCAGAAGAAGCCGTGTAAAAAAAAAAAGTGTAAAAAAAGACATTGATCTTATACAAAAATGGGTGATTTGTTCCTAATCTCTAAAACCTATTAAAATTAGTGAAAAACAAGAATTTTTAAGAACAAGAATTCATGTTTATTTTAATAATAATTCCCCTAAATTAGTGCTATTCACATTTGCTTTGACCAGTAAAAATTGTTTGTACGCGCTAAAGGGGAATTCACTTAAATCTTTAAGCTAGTGTTCGCAAACTATCGATACTATCGATGGTTTCAGACTTTTTTCTTTCATAAATACTTTTTTGTGATATGAACATACTTCGCAAAAATTAAATTTGACAGAAAAAATGTAAGTACATAACATTTCAAATCGTGCTAAATGGAATAAAAGCGTGTAAAAAAGTTAAATATATTCAATTTTCAAACCGTGTTATATCAAAACCGTGTACAAAAAGACCATGTAAAAACAGACTTAGGTGTATATATATATATATATATATATATATATATATATATATATATATATATATATATGTACAGTAGAGCCTTAATTCACCGGGCTAATTGTTGTCAATAGACATTCAGATAATCAAAAGTCCAAATAATGGAAAGTATAAAAAATAATGCAGTGTATTTAATAAAAATAATAAACACATACACAAATATCAACAAAAATCAATATTTATTAAGAAATGAACACTTGCTTATGTATGTTCATACATATTTTCTTAGATTACATTACATACATATACTAAACTGCAGCATTAATTATGCAAAAATTTGACTTGTAGGTATGTACATACATATAAATTGGTCGCGGTTGGTAGTACGGGAAATCAAGAATCTGTTGGATAAACGAGGGCTGGATAAACGAGGTTCTATATATATCTCCTTATAAATAAAAATGGAGCTCGAAAAAATAATCCGCTAAAACTCGAAAACGGCTGAACCGATTTGGCCAGTCTTAGTCTTGAAAAATTCGTGCCAATCCAGCGGTTGTCCATAAGGTGAGAAATTATTTCAAAGTCGCGTAGAAACTTTACATTTTTAATTTCAAAATTTTTGTAGAAGCGTAATTTAAATAAAACAATGAATGGTGGCTAATACGTCAAATGTCAAACGTTTTTGACAGATGATGTTCAATTACATTTAATAGGATGTTTTATGTGAATATTATCTAATTATGATTGAATTGTAGTAAGTAGTTTTGTTCGTAGTTATATTTATACACAAAAACGTTATTAAACGGATTGCAAGTGTTACATAAAAGTATTTTCTTCCGTTGATAGTTTTTTAGCATATTAGTTAAAAATGTAATTATTATGTAAAATACCTTCAAATTGTTTTGTATTTTGTAAAATACCTTTAAAATTATAATAAGACATTAAATCTGTTAAAGCTACTCTGCCTATAGGGTAAAAAGGACTAGATAACAAATTTTTGAAAGATAGCAAAAAAGCACATTTCTACAATGATGCAGTAGCTGACAGTTTTACTGAACGTAATTTACTTTATTTCATCGAATGTTACTTGGAACTTTTCAAAAAGCAGGTTAAAGAAGAAATACTTAATTCATTTTCTATCTCACCTCGCAGAATTTTGAAAATTTTGTATAAGCTCAGTAGTATTATTTACAATTATACACAAAATCCAGAATCCAAAAAGAATCTGAAAAACTTGAAACGTAATCAATAAGTCGAAAGACTAAAAAAGACTTGGATAAAACTTCCAGTTTGATTGTATTGCCAAAATATAGACAAACTAATGAGGTTTATAATACCTCATTGTATATAGCAATAGTTTTACACTATTTTCATGGTGTTCCTCTTGTCATATTTGGGGTAGAAATATTGAATTATTTCAGTATTTTAGAATATATGTTTTATTATAATAATATAAGCATATAATTTAATATATTATATTAAATCTTACACGTAGAACATGATATCCTTCCATACCGCCACCAGGAATTTCGACACTTTGCGAGCTCCCCATTTTCTTGTCAAACACTTATTATATGTTCAGATGTAAGAGTTGTGGCATAATAATCAATTGTGCATAGAATTATTAATGTTATATCAAACGTTATTTTATTTGATTTTCGAGAAAAAAGATGACGTGTATGACATTTCTACTTTAAATCTTCAATTATCATTTATTGAAGCCCATAGTGCAAAAATGTTTAAGTTGGCCATAGTGACGGTTTGACATGACTCAAAACTGTCATTAAACTGTATAGCGGTCGCATGACGCGCATGACACATGACACTTGAGCAACATACGTTCTAAGTGGCGCAACACACAGGCAACGCAACATGAAGTACGCAACTAACGGTTGCAAGTCTGCAATCCCACTGTAATATCAAATCTTGCAACCCCTTGCAAGAAGGGATGAAATTGAGCTACCCAAAAATCTCTCTCTTCCTTCCGCCTTCGCCGAGTGCACATAACCAAGAAGAATTATTATTTTGATATAAATTAAATATTTTGTATTTCAAATTAGAATAAATTAGTGTATTTTCAAGTGTTATTACTTTTTGATTATAAACAATTATATATTTTTATTTAGACGCACAACGTCTAAAGTGGTGACCCCTGTAAATAAGAACACGTGCTAAAAAATAATAAACTAAAAAATGTCTACAGAAAAACTAGACAAATCTCAAATTAACTTGGACGCAACAGAACTCGGGCGGAAGGAGCGCTGCGGCGAAGAAACTCCAGAAAACGATGTGGGACATCTTCTCAACGTGAGTAAGCAGAGTCTTTCGCCGTTCATGGAGGATGCACCGGATCTATGGTTCCTCATCATTGAGTCGGAGTTCCAAGCATGGAGAACAAAATCCGACGACATCAAGTACACATCGGTACTAAAAGCATTAGACAGGACAACACTGAACACAATTGCCGATGTTCTTCGTGACCCACCGGCAAAAGACAGGTATGAGAATATTAAAAAAGTAATTATAAACCGCTTATCTGAATCCAGGTCAAAACAACTCGACAAATTGCTAAAAAGCTTATCATTAGACAACAAAAAACCCTCCCAACTACTAAGGGAGATGACAGTATTGGCCAATAAAGAGATCAGCAATGACATTATACATAAGTTGTGGTTGGAACGATTACCACACAACATCAGAACACACCTTGTTATAACAGAAAAGTCAGACCTGGACACAATTGCTGAACTTGCCGACAAACTAATGGATGTATGTGGTTCCAACTACGTCATGGCAACTAGCAAGGACACCACAGACAGTAAGTTAGAAAAACTAAATAATATCCTCATATCTGCTCTAAAGGAAATTCGGGAACTAAAAGCTGTGCAACTAGCACAGCAACAGGAAATAGAACAGCTGAAATCACAACCCAGTCACTACAACCAGTCCACACAATTCCAGAGAAGACCTAGATCTAGAACACCATCCAAAAGTCATGTGTGCTATTACCATATAAGATTTGGTGAAAAAAGTAAGAAATGCACAGCACCATGCCTGTTCACCAACAAAGTACATCCGGAAAACTGAAGCCACCATCAAGCACAGGAGCGTGTGAAGATGGTGACATAAATTCGTTAAACACAGAGCTCCGATTACATATAACTTGCAAAAAAACTTCACAATCTTTTCTTGTAGACTCAGGATCCATTCTTTCAATTTTACCGGCAAGCAAATATCGATGTGGACAACAAAGGGATGAACTGGTACTGTTTGCTGCAAATTCGAGTCCAATACATACCTATGAAAAAAAACATGTGGAACTCGACCTCTCATTAAGACGGAGTTTCACATGGCCATTCATCATTGCTGATGTGTCAACAGCAATCATCGGAGCTGACTTCTTAAGCCATTTCAACCTGCTGCTTGACCTCAAAGAGAAAAGATTAATTGATCCCATTACAAGATTAACGTCAAATGGACAAATGCTACCATCAAGTTTGTATAATATTTCTACTATTAATCCAACCAATAACTACAGGCATCTATTAAATAATTACATTAACATCACCAAACCACAACACAACTTTAAATGCAAGGATCCAAGCCTGGCACATAAGATTATTACCACAGGACCGCCAGTTGCAGCCAGATTTAGAAAAATCTTTGGGGAAAAAGCAGCAGCAGCAAAAATGGAAATTCAAGAATTACTCAACACAGGAATACTTAGACCATCAAGTAGCCAATGGGCCAGTCCTATACATATGACACAAAAGAAAAATGGTAAGTACAGGTTGTGCGGTGATTATCGTAAGTTAAACGCCAACACTGTACCTGACAAATACCCTCCACCACTGATTCAAGATGTGTTTCCATTACTACACGATAAAAAAATATTCTCGACGCTGGATCTATTCAAAGCTTACCACCAGGTACCAATGGACGAGGAAAGCATCCAAAAAACAGCGATCATAACACCATGGGGACTTTATGAATATTTAGCGATGCCTTTTGGACTTAAAAATGCTACACAGACATTTCAAAGATTTATCAACCACATCTTCAGAGGTCTAGAATTTGTATTCATTTATATAGATGACATCCTTGTCATGTCCAAGGATGAACACGAACATCAAGAACACCTACGCCTAGTATTTGAAAAACTACAAGAACATTCGCTGTCCATCAATACTGAAAAATGCAGGCTAGGTCAGACAGAAGTGGACTTCCTTGGATACAGAATACACACCAAGGGCTACACACCATGCACAGACAGAATAAAGAAAATTTTAGAGTTTCCAAAGCCAACAACTGTGGTAGAACTTCGACGATTCATTGGCATGGCCAATTATTACAAGAAGTCAATACCAGGATCAGCAAAAATTCAGATACCGCTCAATGCCTATTTGACAAAATCTAAGAAAAATGACAAAACACCCATACTGTGGAACCCGGAAGCTGAACATGCCTTTGAAGAACTCAAGAAAAGTCTATCAAACAGTACTTTACTGCATTATCCTGCTGCATCAGCCAACCTTTGCCTCACCACGGATGCATCCACCATAGCCATCGGAGCCGTCCTGGAGCAGGAGGAAAATGGAACCTGGTGCTCCATTGGATTTCACTCTAGAAAACTTAGCACAACTGAACAAAGATATTCCACCTATGACCGTGAACTTCTTGCCATATTTGCTGCAATAAAATTCTTCGAACATCTATTAGAAGGTAGGCATTTTACAATCAGAACTGATCACAAACCCATCACCTATGCCTTCCAACAAAGACTGGACAAAGCTTCAGACAGGCAGAGACGACAACTGGAGTATATTTCACAATTTTCCACAGACATAGTTTATGTGAAAGGTGATCAAAATATAGTTGCTGACACTCTTTCCAGAATTAATACCGTTCAAATGCCTACCAAACTCACTGCAGAAGAAATAGCAAAATATCAAGAAACAGACACCGAACTACCAACTTTACTGGCCGGAAATACATCTCTACAACTAAAAAAAGTCACCATTGATTCACATGCAGTATATTGTCATATTGATACTAAATTTGTCAAACCATATCTTCCACAGAATCTACGTAAGCTGGCTTTCAATGTGATCCATGGAGTATCACACCCAAGTATCAGAACAACATCAAAGGAAGTACGAAGAAGATATGTTTGGCCTGGTATTGCAAGAGATATCAACAATTGGACTCGACAATGTACTGCATGCCAAAAATCAAAAGTTCACAGGCACAATCATCTTTTACCAGAACATATACCAATTCCAGAACAAAGATTTAGCCATTTACACACTGATATTATAATGTTACCAAACCACAATGGATACCAGTATTGCTTAACTATCATTGACAGGTTTACTAGGTGGCCGGAGGCCATACCTCTCAAAGACATATCAGCTGACACCGTGGTACAAGCATTATTCACTCACTGGATATCCAGATTTGGATCACCGGCTACAATTACCTCCGACCAGGGCACACAGTTCGAAGCAGCATTATTCAAATCTCTAGCTCAGACAATAGGTGCAAAGAAAATACGCACTACAGCTTTCCACCCACAGTCAAACGGTCTTGTTGAACGATGGCACAGAACATTAAAAGCAGCATTAATGTGTTCACCAGAACCCTGGACTACGGTGCTACCATTTGTACTTCTGGGCCTTCGTAACTCACTAAAAGAGGACATCCAAGCATCTCCAGCCGAAATGGTTTATGGAACGCCACTAAGACTCCCAGGAGATTTCTTCATTACACCGGACCTGGATCAAAACCCACAAATTTTTATTGACAAACACAGAAAAGTCATGAACGCACTCAAACCTACTCCTACGGCATCATAACAAGTCAAAGATGTTCATTCTAAAGGATTTAGATACTTGTACACATGTCTTCATAAGATCAGATCACGTTCGGAAACCACTGGAGCCTCCATACAGCGGACCACACAAAGTTCTTGAACGGACAACAGACAAAATATACAAGATCCTCGTAAATGGCATTGAGAAAAACATCTCCGTAGACAGATTAAAACCGGCATACATTACCAAGACCGACGATGAATTTCAAGAAAATACACCCCAAATTGAGCAACACCACTGGGGATCATCCATGGATCCTCCGAAGAAAACTTACTCGAAAAGAGTAACATTCAAAACATAATTTTTTTTCTATATTACAGATTTTTCATCAGGCTCTCCTGTCAGATTACTACACGCAATCTCATTCAGGGGGGAATACTATAGCGGTCGCATGACGCGCATGACACATGACACTTGAGCAACATACGTTCTAAGTGGCGCAACACACAGGCAACGCAACATGAAGTACGCAACTAACGGTTGCAAGTCTGCAATCCCACTGTAATATCAAATCTTGCAACCCCTTGCAAGAAGGGATGAAATTGAGCTACCCAAAAATCTCTCTCTTCCTTCCGCCTTCGCCGAGTGCACATAACCAAGAAGAATTATTATTTTGATATAAATTAAATATTTTGTATTTCAAATTAGAATAAATTAGTGTATTTTCAAGTGTTATTACTTTTTGATTATAAACAATTATATATTTTTATTTAGACGCACAACGTCTAAAACTGCAAGATGCAAGCTCTCCTCTAGCGGATTTTTAAATGAAACTCGACGACCAACAAATATGGCGGATGACACATTTATGAGTTGAATTTGCTGTCAACTAATATACATGGGGACATAGATAAAAGAAGAGTATATAGATCGCTCTCTCGGGCCATATTTCGTTGCCACATTCCTGTGTTAGTTGAAGCCCCGCGCTACAGATGGCACTAGTCGCCTGAACGGGTGCGTATAAAAAATACTATAGAAATGAACCAAAATTATATGGACCGTTTTAATTCAAAATTTAAAAAAAGAAAAATTGAAAAAAAAAAAAATTTTGAAGCATTTATTTTTCACAAAAACATTCTACATTATATCTACATAGTTCTCTTTATAAACAAAGCACACATAGCATAAAAATGTACATAAATATACACATTATCCACAATGTATATATATATATAACATTATATATGATTATAATAGATGGTAGTAAGCTGTAAAAACTATGTGCGAAAAGCATAAAAATGTACTTAAATGTACACCCTATCCACAATGTATATATATATATACAAATATATATATATATATATATATATATATACATATATATATATATATATACATATATATATATATATATATGTGTGTGTGTGTAATATCATTTTAGCATATCAGCCTTTCAAGCTGAGCACAAAAAGAATAGAAATGTACATGAATGTATATATTATTTATATATATACATATACATATATAACCACAATTCTTTGATTGATATTGATTCAGATCAATATATAACCAATATATATATATATATATATATATATATATATATATTTACATATATATTTATTTTGATTAACATTAAGTTACATAATATCTATGATGTACAGTCTCTATTTGGGAATCTTTTCTGCGCTATTGTTAATGTGCATTCAAATGTTTGTTCAAAATGTCATTATTATCATTGTCTTAAAGAAAAACAACAATCATTGATATTATTATAACAGTACTTAATAGTTTTCTTATAGCATCTACAATAAGACATTTTAGAGTAAAGCTATTGACATCTCTTTCAGAATAGTCAAATGCAATAAGCAAGTGCACATTAAGGGTGTTTTATCCCTTTGCTTTTTAGAATTTTATCATTAATCATGATTATACTTTGCCTGTCATTTGACAGTTCCTGAAAATCTATACAATGTGATTCCCTTTATCATCATTAAACAACACAGATAATAATATTTCTTGTAATATCAAAATGAAATTATTAATACTTAAAAACTTTTCCTGTGACATAGCCAAACCTAAATTAACCTTTGCACTAGCTAGAATTTCACCATTAATTGAGAATTTCCTTTCACTTACGATTATATCATTAGTGTTTTTAGTATGTTCTCCAAACTGACTTAATATATAATTACGAGTCGTACTGTTCAATATTAGTGGGAGATCAGCAAAGATTTCAGCACATTTCAGACTTCATTCTTATTGTTTTTTCCTGTGTATTCATTCATCTCATATCAATACTTGTACACTTGTGAATGTGTTTAGTAAACCGTCTAAACATTTTACATTTGAACGTATTTTCCTTTTATACTGCTGAAAAAATCGATGTAGAATTATTAGTTATGATCCTACATTATTAGAACAAGATTAATTTATATTTAGTTATTTAATAACATACCTTTCAGAGAGCTGACAGGAATTCTCTCTGTCTATTTATAACCTTAAAATTTCTAGTATTGATATAGTTAAATGTCTCAATTATTTCTGAATTATTAAACTGTAATGAAAAATCATATCAGAATAGTACAATCAAATGAAAGTAATTCGAAGTATGCATATTAATAAAAGTACTCACTTAGATTGAAAGCCGGCAAATATTATTACTTATTTTACTTTTACTTCGTCGTTTCTCGCTGGAACTACATAATACATGCATTTTTCTTGGTATTTCTTCTTCGTTAAACAATGCACTTCGACAGCTTATTTGTTTTTTACTCTAACAAGCATTTATTATATTGTCTAGGTTATCTCTCCATGAAAAATTTATTACAATGGACGCCATGTTTAATTTAAGTATCTGTCATATGTCAAATTCGATTTCAAAGTGAAAAAAAAAAAAAAAAAAAAAAAACAAGCGCGACCGGCGGCAGGGGCTCTAACTAAACTCGGGTTACAGACGTTTGTTCCGAGATTACCGGCCATGCATGGGGACAAGGATAAATAAGCATAAATAGATCGCTATCTCGGGCCATTTGACGTTACACTCATTTTAATTTACGAATAGATCACTACATGGCAGCACATGTACATACAGTATGTAAATTAACCCCTGGTATTACTTCTACATTTGTACATAAAATCAATACAGCCCAAAAATCTGAAAAAAATTATTATTTGAAATAAGAACAAAACATACGAAATACAAAATATATTTTCAAATATATCACAGACATATTTTTGAAGAATTATAAACTAAACAGAAATAACTGACTACTATTAATTAAAGTATATTACAGACATATTTTTAAAGTACTTATTCTATTAATATTCTAGAAATAACTTATTCATATTAATTACTTAATGACTAATAATAATATATTAAAAACTTAAAAACTAAGAAGTAAAAAGTGCAGGAGTATTGATGATGTAATGACAAATTTAGAAGGAATGACAAGCAATGCAATAATTTAAAAGGATAAAAAGAACAGCACATTTTTAAAAAAGAATGAATACTTTCCAAACAAAATAATCCTAAAAACAAAACATATATATATTGATATCCAAATTGAGATAAAACTAAATTCCTATGATTAAAATTCATTTACGAGACATTCTTGTTTATTATCTCTCCATTTAATAGTTATTTTGCTATCTAATCAATCATTAATAAAGTTATATTTGACGAAATCTTTGAATAGTTTCTGTATAAGGGTTTTTTTAAACGTAAGTAACCAAAACCCTGAACTACTTTTAATTTATACCAATTGTAGCTCAAATCTATCTATCGTTTTAATCCAGTTTTTATTGCAAGGAGGTTTAGTTAAAACTATAACTAAACCCTTGCGCTTTATAAAATGTCTTTGAGTATGCTCTCTTAATTGAGACATTATCAAAATTCTTGCCCTTACATTTTAAGTTTCCGGAATATTTGAAAACTTCTCAGAACATTGTATACTCTGTTGGAATTTATCCTTTAAATTATTGCATTGCATTTTAATCCCGAAACAAAATTTGATGTATCATACATCTTCTGGGTGTTAAGGCACTCCTACGCCTTATCATTGCATTCTGCGGCAATTTGCAGCTACCATCAAGGACTTCTATTGAATATATTGTTATATCATATTAATTGAAGATATTGTAATTATCATATTAAATATTTTTGCTGCAATTAGTATGAAAAAATACCTTTTCAGAAAACTGGTGTCAGAATAGGTGACTTTTAACCTGCACTTCACAATCTTAGAGGTGCTGCAAAAATCTTTTTCAAGGTGTTTAGGCTTCCATCTCCTAAGAACATAAGATTCATTTATTAATATTTTTTTGCAAATGTTATTGAAGTATTTAGAGTTATAATTACTTGTCCTTGTCCTTAGAGTTGCAGATTGTTCTTCTGGTTCTGTATCAGAGCATTCTCCAGTGACTTGAAAACTATTTTGTTATTGCCGTAAAGGAGACACTTCTATTTGGTTTCGATTTCAAATTATCGTTGATTTGTGCCACAAACCGAAGAGTTAGGTCATCCATTAAAAGATTATTCGCCCTCTGCATCCAAATTGAAAGCATCTTTTTACACACAAATATATATAATATATATTTACACAAATATATATATATATATATAACATTTTAATAGTATTGTGATGATACATATTCATTATATGCATAATATATCATTATATACATACCTGATAATTAGATGCCGGAAAGACATGCATTTTTTTATTATATTTGGGGTTATAACAATTTGGCACATAACACTTTATGATTTTAACTTAATAATAAATGAAAAAAGTATTCACCAAAACATAATTATATATAAACAATCACAGAAAATCTCAACTACAATACGCGATGACAACTTGACAACTTATAGAAGATGGCCGATCAAATCAATGTAGATCAACAAGCCAGCTGCTAGATCAATGAAATTGGAAATCGTAGCGCCATCCTTCGAACTATTCAAATACCAATCCATTTCAAAACACGGTAATCTTCATTTGTTCGGAGATTACCGGCCATGGGCACAACACAGTTCATTCACAAAGCCTACTGACACAACAGATATTTTTTGGATTACAATTATTGCCAGTTAGGTGAGTTAACAAGAGTGCTTTATCATTATAAGGATGGTACATGCTTATTTATCTAGGGTACATGGTTTGTGTTACAATTTATGCTCAACAATATTTAATGCCTCACAAGGAAAACCCCAGGTTTACTCTTCTGGGATTTTGATGAAACTTTGGCTGATGATATAGTTTATTGTCAATCCGAACCCTTTAAAATATTATAGGTATATGCATGGCCGGTAATCTCCGAGCAAACGCCTGTAACCCGAGTTTAGTTAGAGCCCCCGCCGCTGGTCGCGCTTGTTTTCATTTTTTTTTTTTTTTTACTTTGAAATCGAATTTGACATATGACAGATACGTAAATGAAACATGGCGTCCATTGTAATAAATTTTTCATGAAGAGATTACCTAGAGTCTAGACAATATAATAAACGCTTGTTAAAGTAAAAAACAAATTAGCTGTCTAAGTGCATTGTTTAACGATGAAGAAATACCAAGAAAAATGCATGTATTATGTAGTTCCAGCGAGAAACGACGAAGTAAAAGTAAAATGGTTAATAATATTTGCAGGCTTTCAATCTAAGTGAGTACTTTTATTAATATGCATACTTCAAATTACTTCCATTTGATTGTACTATTCTGATATGATTTTTCATTACAGTTTAATAATGCAGTAATAATTGAGACATTTAACTATATCAATACTAGAAATTTTAAGGTTATAAATAGACAGAGAGAATTCCCGTCAGCTCTCTGAAAGGTATGTTATTAAATAACTAAATATAAATTATTTTTTTCAGCAGTATTAAAGGAAAATACGTTTAATTGTAAAATGGTTAGACGGTTTACTAAACACATTCACAAGTATACAAGTATTGATATGAGATGAATGAATACTCAGGAAAAAACAATTAGAATGAAGTCTGAAATATGTGCTGAAATCTTTGCTGATCTCCCACTAATATTGAACAGTAGGACTCGTAATTATATATTAAGTCAGTTTGGAGAACATACTAAAAACGCTAATGATATAATCGTAAGTGGAAGGAAATTCTCAATTAATGGTGAAATTCTAGCTAGTGCAAAGGTTAATTTGGGTTTGGCTATGTCACAGGAAAAGTTTTTAAGTATTAATAATTTCATTTTGATATTACAAGAAATATTATTATCACACATTGTATAGATTTTCAGGAACTGTCAAATGACAGGCAAAGTATAATCATGATTAATGATAAAATTCTAGCTAGTGCAAAGGGATAAAACACCCTTAATGTGCACTGCTTATTGCATTTGACTATTCTGAAAGAGATATCAATAGCTTTACTCTAAAATGTCTTATTGTAGATGCTATAAGAAAACTATTAAGTACTGTTATAATAATATCAATGATTTGTTTTTCTTTAAGACAATGATAATAATGACATTTTGAACCAACATTTGAATGCACATTAACAATAGCGCAGAAAAGATTCCTAAATAGAGACTGTACATCATAGATATTATGTAACTTAATGTTAATCAAAATAAATATATATGTAAATATATATGTAAATATATATATATATATATATATATATATATATATATATACACATGCAGGTATGAATTGTGGTTATATATGTATATGTATATATATATATATATATATATATATATATATATATATAATTGTTTAATATGAACAAAACAGCACTCAGATTTGTTTAACACAACTTTATTTTATGATTACAGACGTTTCGAGACCATGGTGTGTCTCATCTTCAGTGTAATTTCAAAAACAGTTACTTATATACTACACATTCTTTAATAATTTATTTAAATTTCATTTAATTTTTGATATACAAAAAACACCAACTATTCCTTGCAATGCTTGACACAGTACTAAAGAAACATATAACACTTACAGAAATATTCTAAACAAATTTGAAGTACTTCATTTAAAAGGTTCAAGTAATTTTGCGACTCTATTTTTAATAATTGGACAAATTAACTTATATGGAAAATTATTGCCAAGTAGGATCGTTTTAACTAATTAATAATATTAATAATATTAATATTATTATCATAATATTAATAATTTTCCATATAAGTTAATTTGTCCAATTATTAAAAATAGAGTCGCAAAATTACTTGAACCTTTTGATAAGAAACCGGAAGAGCCTGGCAAAACAAGTGTTCCTGAAAAAACTTTTTTCATTAATTTTCCATATCTTGACAATAATTTTGACCAATTATCAAAAAGACTTTTCAAAAAACACAATATTCGTATTACTTTTTCTTCATTAAAACAATTAAAATTTTTATATTCCAAAATTAAAGATGAAACTCCATTAACAAAAAAGAAAGATATAGTTTATAAAGTAAATTGTTTGGATTGTAATTGCTCTTATATTGGCCAGACCTGCCAGAACTTAGAAAAGAGACTCAGGCAACATGAATTACAATGTGAAAAAATAGATAACAAAAAATTTAAAAGTACACTTGTGGATCATGCTAATATCAACAACCATAAGTTTGATTTTGACAATCCCCAAATTTTATTCCATGAGAAAGACTTATTTAAACGGAGCATGGCAGAATCAATGTTAATAGTTCGGACTAACAATAGCATAAATCTAAGAACCGACACAAATATTTTACATGACACTTATATAAACATCATTAATAATTTATAAATTTTTTCATTTATCTTATTCTTTTCAATAAATTAATTTGTTTTTTCATTTTTATCGATTTTTGTATGCGATAGCACTCCTTTTGTTTACATTATAATGATACCCATTCTGTCTCCATCTAGATAAGTACTTCAAATTTGTTTAGAATATTTCTGTAAGTGTTATTTGTTTCTTTAGTACTGTGTCAAGCATTGCAAGAAATAGTTGGTGTTTTTTGTATATCAAAAATTAAATGAAATTTAAATAAATTATTAAAGAATGTGTAGTATATAAGTAACTGTTTTTGAAATTACACTGAAGATGAGACACACCATGGTCTCGAAACGTCTGTAATCATAAAATAAAGTTGTGTTAAACAAATCTGAGTGCTGTTTTGTTCATATTAAACAATTAATATTCGTTCCACTCATATCATAAAATTCTATATTATATATATATATATATAAATAATATATACTTTCATGTACATTTCTATTCTTTTTGTGCTCAGCTTGAAAGGCTGATATGCTAAAATGATATTACACACAAACATATGTGTATATACATACATATATATATATATATATATATATATATACATTGTGGATAGCGTGTACATTTATGTACATTTTTATGCTTTTCGCACATAGCTTATACAGCTTACTACCATCTATTTCTTATCATATATAATGTTATGTATATATATATATATATATATATATATATATATATATATATATATATATATATATATATATATATATATATTTTGTATGATTCTGAATTTGATGTTGACATATGTATTAACCAAGTCTAATAATCGGGCATAACATCAATAAAAAACATGAATTTCTTTCAAAAATTTATTTTAAATCCATACGTTTCGGCTATAATCCTAGCCTTCATTCAGTGGAAACTAAAAATAAAATTAAAAACTAAAACAATTGAATTGGAGTGAAAAGAAAAAATAAAATAGTAATTAGTACTTACAATTAGTAGATCTTAGTGTTAAATTGGAAAATTTTAATAATCCATGGTATTAGGATATGGTAATGCACTACACTATGTATTATAAACATTAACTTGAAATTACACGATATTTTCACAAAATACTGATTTGAAAAAATCACAAATGGATAGTGTGTTATTCGTAGACTGGTTGAAGATGTAATGGAGAAAGACATTTTTTAAAAAATATTTTTACCAAGATTCTAACATGTGCGGAACGAATTGCGAATCCTTTGCACGAACGCTTTTATTGTTTTGTAAGAAATTTGGAAATGTTATCTAAATAGAAGAGATTTGTGTCGCACAGCGTGTTGAGTTCATTCCGTTTATTTATTGTCTTATTGTTATAAATAGTTAAAAAAGATCCCTCTATAATTCTTCGTTTAAATAAACTTTGTTCGAATTGTAGTACAGTCGGATTAGAAAAGTCCATATTGTGTTTTAAAGTGTATATATGGTCTGCAAGTACAGTTTTGAATTGTTTGGGGTTTTTTGAATTATTTTTATGTTGTTGTAACCGTTTATTGAGGTTCTGGCTAGTTTCTCCTATGTAAATTAAATTACAGTCTAAACAATTTATTTGATAGACGAGATTTCTGAGTCGTTCGATATTAAATGGGGTTTTTGTTTTGGTAAAAATAGTGCTAGTAGTTGTAAAAAATTGTTCCTAAATTTTACGAAATAGACATTAAAAAATTCCAATTCATTAGTAATAATTCCCCATACAATAGTTTACAAAAAGTTAGTTTAAAATACATTACACTCACAATTAACAGGTGTATCAAAAATATTTGTAATTTTAGAAATACGATTGAAAAAATCACAAATTGGTTGTGTCGCACAGTAGAAATCGATGTTTTTGAAAACTTTTTATATTTAGAAACAATTAGAAACAACAAACAGTTCAATAGTTTGAAACTTTCGTATACTAACAAATTTAATAAACTATTACAAAATAAATTAGAAAATAACAAAATAATTTTAGATAAAAATATTATTGATAAGTGGTTAAAAAATTATTCTTCTATCGACATACCAGACAGACTATTGTACATATTCGCTTTAGGACCCAATTTTTCAGTTCCTGCTTCTTGTCGTAATTTTAACTTTATTAAATTGCTTAGTAATTTAGAATATGGTTTACAACAAATTAAAGATCCGAAAACTAAAATTCACACTAGAAATCTTTTTTGTAAAAAATTCATCCAACATATTAATTCCTTTAATACTAAAAATACAACTTACAATAATATTCTTAGAGACCTTAAAGCATGCAAAATATTTCTCAAAAATCATCCGGATATAGTGGTCACTAAAGCGGATAAAGGCAACATCACTGTTATCATAGACAAACAAGACTATATAAATAAAATATCTGAATTATTACTCGACACTAATACTTACAAAATTACCAATAACGATCCAACTGACTATATAAACCGCATGTGCCATAAATTTTTAGACAAACTTACAACTAACAAAAGAGATAACTTCTGACCTGAAAAATTTACACCCATATTTTCCCAGAATTTATGGCCTTCCCAAAGTCCACAAAAATAATTTACCTTTTAGACCAATAGTTTCGGACATTAATACCCCCCTATATAAACTTTCAAAATACATAAGTAACATTTTAACTACAATAACAAAACAATCACCACACTACATAAAAAATTCTTATGAACTCATTACTGACTTAAAACACAAGATAAATTATATACCAGACAACTACAAACTAATTAGTTTAGGCGTAGTCTCACTTTTTACTAATGTACCCCTAGACCTTATTTTAGACGCAATAACAATCCGATGGAATGAAATTTCCCCGTTGACTTCTTTATCGTTGCACTGGTTCAGGGAAACTATCAAGTTCATTGTCTCTAATACTTATTTTGAATTCAATGGCTCTTTCTATTATCAAATTTTTGGGGCGCCAATATCCTTACAACTTCTCGAAAATACAATTTTTAAAAATTACAATAAACATATTTTTTATTACCGTTATGTAGATGACATTATCACTTGTATCCCTAGTAATGATGTCACTATGATAATTGATCAATTTAACAACGTCAATAAAAAATTAAAATTTACAGTGGAATCGGAGACAATGAACTCGATAAGTTTCTTAGACATAAAACTTATACGTACTACAGATAACAAACTAATAACAAATTGGTACCAAAAACCAACTAACTCTGGACGTTACCTTAATTACTTTTCTTATCATCCACTCAAAATGAAAATAGGTACTATAATAAATCTAACGGACCACGCAATACTTCTATCGGAAAAAACATTTTGGGACAACAACATCAAATTAATTACAAAAATTCTAACAGATAACTCTTATCCCCTAAAACTTATAAATTCTGTAACTAGTAACAGACGAACGTACCTTTTGAATAAAATGGACAATTGCACAGTACATAACGATTTACCTGACTCAGAAACTCATTCTGGTGTAATATGTTTGCCATACATTAAAGAATTGTATGTTCCTCGGAAAAAACTTTTTTATAAATCTGGACTTCGACTTGTAACCAATTTTAGTACAACTACTAGCACTATTTTTACCAAGACAAAAACCCCATTTAATATTGAACGACTCAGAAATCTCGTCTATCAAATAAATTGTTTAGACTGTAATTTAATTTACATAGGAGAAACTAGCCAGAACCTTAATAAACGGTTACAACAACATAAAAACAATTCAAAAAACCCCAAATAATTCAAAACTGTACTTGCAGACCATATATATATACTTTAAAACACAATATGGACTTTTCTAATCCGACTGTACTACAATTCGAACAAAATTTATTTAAACGAAGAATTATAGAGGGATCTTTTTTAACTATTTATAACAATAAGACAATAAATAAACGGAATGAACTCAATACGCTGTGCGACACAAATCTCTTCTATTTAGATAACATTTCCAAATTTCTTACAAAACAATAAAAGCGTTCGTACAAAGGATTCGCAATTCGTTCCACACATGTTAGAATCTTGGTAAAAATATTTTTTAAAAAATGTCTTTCTCCATTACATCTTCAACCAGTCTACGAATAACACACTATCCATTTGTGATTTTTTCAAATCAGTATTTCGTGAAAATATTGTGTAATATCAAGTTAATGTTTATAATACATAGTGTAGTGCATTACCATATCCTAATACCATGGATTATTAAAATTTTCCAATTTAACACTAAGATCTACTAATTGTAAGTACTAATTACTATTTTATTTTTTATTTTCACTCCAATTCAATTGTTTTAGTTTTTAATTTTATTTTTAGTTTCCACTGAATGAAGGCTAGGATTATAGCCGAAACGTATGGATTTAAAATAAATTTTTGAAAGAAATTCATGTTTTTTATTGATGTTATGCCCGATTATTAGACTTGGTTAATACATATGTCAACATCAAATTCAGAATCATACAAAATATATATATATATATATATATATATATAAATATATGTATATATATATATATTATATATAATATATATATATATATATATATATATATATATATATATATATATGTATATATACATATGTGTGTGTGTAATATCATTTTAGCATATCAGCCTTTCAAGCTGAGCACAAAAAGAATAGAAATGTACATGAAAGTATATATATATATATATATATATATATATATATATATAACCACAATTCATACCTGCATGTGTATATATATATATATATATATATATATATACTAGCATACCCAGCCTTGCGTTGCAACGGCCCTTATTAAAATCCACCTGATTGAAATTTGAATCCGTTTGACAACCACATTGAATAACCAAGTGATTTTTATAAATTTGTTATATCTTATTTGGTATTACTATAATATGCCTTTAATATTTTCTTTAAAAATTTTCCATAAATTTATGATTAGACACTCATCGATTTCAATGCATTTTTCAAAATTTGTGATTACTTACAAAATGCTTATTATATAAATTTCCGACTATAAATTGATATTCATACTATCCCTGAAACTAACATGGATAAAGTTCTGAGGAATTCGAGTCCAAATCTATGTGCCAAAAATCACACTTCGAAATTTAATATAATATGATATAATATTTAGTTTTCAATCATGATTTATATTAATTTTGTGATGTTTATCTGAATGAACAACTTAAGCAAATTAAATCTTAATCATAAATCAATTTATTCATACATTTCCCGTAATATTGGGTCTGTTCGCAGTGAGCAGTTTGTGACAGTCCACAACTCTTCCAAACTCATTCTGATTTGTTACACTGCGCATGCGCCATCTCATGACAGTTTCCAACGGTTTGACAAGACGGTTTACATCGAACGCGACGAAACTGCCGAGAGTTCATTCGCATGTCTTCGGTATAGTTCGTTTCGTGTTTCTGTTTATTTGCTCAGTTTGAGTAAATGAAATGTTTAATGTGTTTTATGGAGAGAATTTAACATAATGAGTGACAACGAGTTTTTTTATGATTTTTTGCAGAACGATGAGGAGGAGTTAGATTTATTAGAGTTTGTTCAAGTTACAAAAAATGAAGAATATCTTGGTAAGTATCAGTTATTATAATTAAAAGAGGTTAATATAATATAATATTCCATAAGTGCAATTTAATCATTTTATAGTTTTATTTTGACAGAAAAAGTGGTGCCATTGTTTGATGACATACAATTTCTCGAGCACTTCAGAATAAGCAAAACAACGTGTTCTAATATATCAGAAATATATGAAGATAGTAAATATTATAACAAAATTAAATATGGACCATTCGGAAAAATCTGTGCATTTAATCAGGTAAAAAATGTACTATAATTGACAAACCAGTAAAATCATAATTAATTACATATTATTTTAGATACTAATATTTTTATGGTTTGCGGGACACCAAACATCCAGCTACAGGGATGTCAGTGATCGTTTTAATATAACGTTAAGTACTTTACATCGAATAGTGCAAAGGGTTGCTTTCTTTTTAAGCAATTTATCCCCAAAATTTATTAAATGGCCGAGTGATGAGGAAAAGTTGGTGATTGCCACAGAATTTGCTAAAAATGATTTTCTAAATGTAATTGGTGCAATTGACGGTTGCCACATTCGAATAGATAAACCGATAGAGGATCCAAATTCATATATGAACCGAAAAGGATTTTATTCAATTCATGTACTGCTTTTCATCTACTTGCATCTATATGTGTTTCACAGTATTCCAGTTTACAATTATATGTATTTTACAGATTCAGGCAGTTTGTGATGACCAAAAGAAAATTATAGATGTGTGCATTGGAAATCCTGGTTCTGTTCATGATGCCAGAATATTTCGAAAATCAAAATTGGGCTCAAATTTAATTCAAAAATGTGGACATTTTATTTTATTAGGAGATAATGGCTACCCACTAAATGCAAATTTGATGACACCTTATAAAAATACTCATGGCCTTACAGTAATTCAGAAAAATTTTAATAAAAAACTCAGCAGTAATCGAATTAAAATTGAGCATACATTCGGCATGCTAAAACAAAAGTTCAAACAACTATATCATTTAAAACTAAGAAATATAACTCTTATTTCTCACTTTATAAGAGCTTGCTGCGTTCTATATAATATGAGTCTCACTGATGAATTTGAATATTTGCAAATGGAAGATGAAAATAATGAGACATCAGATGATGTGGCAGATTCTGATCCTTATTCAACAGATGCTTCAATATTACGGGATCAAATTGCAGCTAATTTACCATTATAGGCCTAATTAGGCAACCCTACATTATTTATTTATTCATTAATTTATTCATAAGCACACCTTAATAATAACAATAAATATTATTTCAGGCTCTTGTCAAGTACTTATAATGTATTATTCTGTGAATGTTCTGTATTGAAAAAAAATTAAATGAATTAATAAATTAAAATCAGGCGTTTATATTGGATAATGATTTATTTATATTTATTGCAAATTTATGAATATTATTTTATTTTAGAGCACTCCATATTTTTGTTTTAGAATTGCCAATTTTTCTTCTTCTATTTGTATATGTAGGCTACAAAGTAAGCCTATAACGCTCAGATTAAAATTTGAAACCGTCAGACACCAATACATAGACAATAATACCAATTCTCGCAGTCACGAATCGACAGTCACAAACTGGTACAAACGCATCAAACCGAGCTGACCGAACGCGTAGATAAAAATCCACGACAGTTTGGGATTCAGTTTGGACACATCGAACGGTCAAAACGATCTGCGCATGCGTCTGACGGTTGTGTACTGTCGGCGACTGCACATCGAACAAACCCATTATAAAACGTCATTTTCGTCATTTGTTTTAAATTCGTAACCGCCCAAATTTATTTAAATTTGATAAATTTTATTATTCTGTATCCTAACTTAAATGTGATTTGTAATATAAGTTGGAATAATTAATGTATTTGTTCCTATTTGAATTCGTTAAAAATATTAATTCTTTTGACCTGTCAAAATTTTGACGTGTTAGTATCCGAACCAAATAAATATAAATTATAAATTTATTCATCTAATACTTTCCATAGATATTGACAAATGACACTTCCTTTTTTTTAGTTTAAAACTATCAAATTTTGTTTAAATTTATAAACATTATATATTTCTATTATTTTGAATATAGCATTTTGCCTAATTTGAATATAACTGTTGGATATATTCTAATATATCTGTTCCTTTTTCAATTAGTAAAAATAATATATTTTTAGAATTGTCAATTTTTTTTTCAGAAATCATAAATCGTTTTTTCTCGAAGTTTCCATAAATATTGACATTTGTCATTTTAGTGTTTTGTTTTTTTTTAGTAAATTTCTGTCAAAATTCATGGAAATTTATAAAAAATATAAAACTAAATATTTCCTTCTTGGTCGAAATTTAATATAATATGATAAAATATTTTTCAATGATGTTTTGTATCTACAATATTGCCTATAACAAAACTTGGAATAATTAATGTATTTGTTTCTTATTGAAGTCGTTAGAAATTCAATTTTTCTGAACTGTCAAAATTTTGTTTATTATTAATATTAAATTTAATATGTCATTTTTTTATTGTGATCTATAATGTTTTGAGGAAGTTTTGGTATCCGAACTAATTTCGTAAGCAAATCAAATAAATATAAATTATAAATCTATCTATCTAATAATTTTTATAAATATTGACAAATGTCAATTCACGTTTTTTTAATGTCAACTTTTATTTAAATTTATAAACATTGATTTTTAATTAGATTTAAAACTATAAACAGTGATTTTGAATATAGCATTGCATCTAATTTGGATATAAATGTTGGATATATCTTTAATATGTATATGTTTTTGAATTATATTTTTTGAACTGTCAAATTTTTTTTTCCAAAAACGTTAATCTTTTTTTCTCGAATTTTCCATAAATTTTGACATTTGTCATTTGTGTTTTGTTTTTTTTTGGTCATTTTCTGTCAAAATTTTTTGAAATTTATAAAAATTATGTATTTATATTTTAAATTTACTTCTCAAAATTTCCTATAACCTAAGTTGGATATATATGCACACGATGAGCCAATAAAATTTAAAATCGGTCCAGTAGTTTGGGCGTCCATCGCGAACCAACATCGTGACACGAGATTTATATATATATAGATATATATTTATTTTGATTAACATTAAGTTACATAATGAGTTCGTTCCATCCGAACCAATCTGACAGTCCGGAACTGTCCGCGCATGCGCAGAACACTTTTTTCTGTTCCATCCAAAATTTCGGATTCCAAACTGTTGCGGACTGTCAGTAATGCGTTCCATCAAGCAGTCCGATGAGTTTGAAACTATCATTTTGTGTTTGTACTCGGCACAAACAAAAACTCCGCAATTTAATACGATTAAAATAGAATGTTATTTAATCTCAAATAGAACATTAAAAATTTAATGAACTTACAGGAGTTCAAACATTGTAGAATATTAGATTAAAGCGACCTAACGATATATAACTAGGAAATATTAAAAAGTAAATTCATTGATATAATTAAGTTATATTTTATTAGAATATGTTTTATATATATATATATATATATATATTAAACTTATATTTATGTAATAAAATAATAATTATTAATACAATCGAGTGAGCTCCGAGTTCGATCGCGTTGCATGTATCAAAACCAAACCATTGCCAACTGCCATGAAAAAATCAGAAAGAGTTTGATCTAGTTTGAAACAGTTTCGGACTGTCAGATTTGCTCGGATGGAACGAACCCAATATCTATGATGTACAGTCTCTATTTGGGAATCTTTTCTGCGCTATTGTTAATGTGCATTCAAATGTTGGTTCAAAATGTCATTATTATCATTGTCTTAAAGAAAAACAAATCATTGATATTATTATAACAGTACTTAATAGTTTTCTTATAGCATCTACAATAAGACATTTTAGAGTAAAGCTATTGACATCTCTTTCAGAATAGTCAAATGCAATAAGCAGTGCACATTAAGGGTGTTTTATCCCTTTGCACTAGCTAGAATTTTATCATTAATCATGATTATACTTTGCCTGTCATTTGACAGTTCCTGAAAATCTATACAATGTGATTCCCTTTATCATCATTAAACAACGTAGATAATAATATTTCTTGTAATATCAAAATGAAATTATTAATACTTAAAAACTTTTCCTGTGACATAGCCAAACCCAAATTAACCTTTGCACTAGCTAGAATTTCACCATTAATTGAGAATTTCCTTCCACTTACGATTATATCATTAGTGTTTTTAGTATGTTCTCCAAACTGACTTAATATATAATTACGAGTCCTACTGTTCAATATTAGTGGGAGATCAGCAAAGATTTCAGCACATATTTCAGACTTCATTCTAATTGTTTTTTCCTGAGTATTCATTCATCTCATAGCAATACTTGTATACTTGTGAATGTGTTTAGTAAACCGTCTAACCATTTTACAATTAAACGTATTTTCTTTTAATACTGCTGAAAAGAATAATTTATATTTAGTTATTTAATAACATACCTTTCAGAGATCTGACGGGAATTCTCTCTGTCTATTTATAACCTTAAAATTTCTAGTATTGATATAGTTAAATGTCTCAATTATTACTGAATTATTAAACTGTAATGAAAAATCATATCAGAATAGTACAATCAAATGGAAGTAATTTGAAGTATGCATATTAATAAAAGTGGATAATGTGTATATTTATGTACATTTCTATGCTATGTGTGCATTGTTTATAAAGAGAAATACTATGTAGATATAATGTAGAATGTTTTTGTGAAAAATAAATGCTTCTAAATTTTTTTTTTTTCAATTTTTCTTTTTTTAAATTATGAATTAAAACGGTCCATATAATTTTGGTTCATTTCTATAGTATTTTTTATACGCACCCGTTCAGGCGACTAGTGCCATCTGTAGAGAGGGGCTTTAACTAACACAGGAATGTGGCAACGAAATATGGCCCGAGAGAGCGATATATATACTCTTCTTTTATCTATGGGTATATGCTTATTTATCTATTATATATATTTATCTATGGTGTTCCCTATCAATATGTCCTGATAGCTGTGCTAGTTAAAGGGCTTGTTCTTAGTTTTTGTATTTAGGATTCCGATTCACATATTTTTGTAATATTTCATCATTGAACTTCATCATTTTTAACTCTCTTATTTATGAATCCGAATGCAAAAACTAGAAACAAGCGCTTCAACTAGCAAAGCTAGTACAGAAGTACTATTTAAATTTCTTAATATTCATTATTCAAGGTGAAGCTTATGCTTGGGGGATGGGTGGAAATGGTGAACTTGGTACTGGATCTGATGATGATGTTCTAGCACCAGTTCAAGTAAATCTATGATTATATTTACATGAACAAATTCAAAATAATTTAATATGGTTAATTTTTTTTACTCTAAAGGTAACTGGGAAGCATATCAATGGTAAAAAAGTCCTGCAGTTAGTGGTGGTGGAAAACATACAATTTTCCTTACTAAATAATATATTTAAGAACTTCGCCAATTTTAATTAGTAATTACAACATTACTTGGTTCTACAGGCCAAGTTTATTATTTTTTAATAAATCAATAATATTGTAGTTGTTTGCAGATTGAATTGATTAACAATCTATTAATTTTATAAATGCCTTATCTGTTTAACACACTTTTGTGTACCTAAGAAATGATTTACATTATTTTAACATTGATAAAATTTACTCTGTATCTTATTATAGTATTTTTGAAAGTTTTAATAGTATATTAGTCAAATATACAAATTACTTATATAAAACTATATAATATAATGTAATTAAAAAAATTGTAAATATTAGATGGAAACCTTTTGTATTTTAAAGATAATAAAATTTAGTTCAAGTAACTAATGAAACCATTAACTTTCATATAATATTTTTATATACATGCATGTTTTACTGTAGTCCAATGTTCAAAAAAATAAATATGGTTGTTCGCTTTTTTTTTGTCTCAAAATCTAGATGTTAAAAGCCGCTCAAGTACAATAAGTGTTACAAATTCCTTCTTTAATTTTGTTAAGAATTCGTTTTTAAATATTTTATGATCATTGCATTATTTAGATTATTTACTTTAAGTGGGCACAGGACGCACATGCAGATTAGATAATTTTTCAATAGCTTAAGCACATACTTATCCCTTTTATATTTTTCTTATTATCAAACTTATTTTCCACACTGCACAGGAAACTGATTATGTTTACTTATCTATGCTGATTATGGCAAATATTTATTATACATATTATCCTTGTTATAAACACATGTACGCTTCCAAGAAAATGTACCAGGTCAAATGCAAACATCTGCATTAATACATATTATAGAAATTTCCTAAATACTATGTATGCAATAGTGTATATTTGCAACTGCCTCTTCTACACAGATATTTATTTGTTAATGCTTATGTTATATTCAAATTCATAGTTAGTATTCAGTTAGCTTTGATACTAAGAACATGCTAAGCCTAGTAAATGTTGGAATGGAAATTTAAACTACGCAGACAATTATGTTAAGGAAATCAACGCCCTAACAAATATATTGTTGGAGATTTGTGCTAAACAGGAGCACAATAAAATCTATAAATTTTAGCAGTATTATTTGTTGCAGCACTGAAAAAATACTCATTACACACTGAAAATGCTTCTCTGAAATATTAAAGTTTAACTCCTAAAAATACCAGAATCGTATCAAGATATATATATATATATATATTGCAATCATAACAAAAATATGAATAATTAATTATTGGTTATAAGATATATATATATATATATATATATATATATAAACAAGTATTAAAAATATAACTATTTACATGCACAAATATCATTATTTGAGAATTACTTTTCAAAACCATAATATGTAAGTAAGTAAGTAATTCTCCCGGACAGATCAAATAGATTAATCTAATTATGTCAATAAGTTTTCTTTGTAAAATAGTTCCCTATTTTTACTTTATTTCATCAAGTCTGTATCATATTAGTCAAATCACAGTGACTTAATGTGATGATGGCACCGATATGTGAAATCTAATTAGAAATAGAAAAATATATGCCTCACTCCAATAATGTGGTCAATGATGCCATTAGAACTATACCACCAATCAATGCTCCAAATTGTTTAATCGACTCTTTTGGATCCCTTTCTTGCAGCAAGTCAGGTAGCACTGTAACTAAACTTATGTGGAGAAATCCGCCGGCTGTGAAGGGCATTATCCAGCATGTTCTAGCTTCTGGAGAAGATGTATTAAGACATTAGAATTTATTTATAATGTAATGCAGTATACAAGCTTTGCTAACGTCATTGATATTTTAGCATTAAAGGGTATGGGCGCACTGCCATAGAGTCTTTTTGGAAAAAAACGATATACTAATTTTCAACTTTGTACCTTATCTTATGGCCGAGATATCATTGAAAATATGCTAAAGTGGGCCCTTATTTGAAACTAACTTTTTAGCCTGACCTTGAAAAGATAACAAAAAAAAAATTACGTGGTTATACTCATATTGGCTTATACAACATTATGTAGAAGAATCGATGCCAAATAATTATTTATTATTAGTTAAAAAAGATAATATAATTTTTCAATTAATGTTTTCGGGCAATGCGTTTAGTTGGACCACCTTCTAATTAGCGTTATTCGAAAGAATATTATCTTTTCTTATAGTACTGTAAATATTGTTCAAATCAATTGTGTGAAACACATCGCAAAATTGAAAAAAATTGGAGCCAGTACACCCGCGCGTAACGCTAATAGTACCATCATTTATGTTTACTTATCTATGGAGTACCATACTCTTCTTTTATCTATGAATAGCACCCTGCAATTGCATGCAGTTCGTTCGGACGCGAAGCAGTGCGCGATGCGCCCGAAACTATTCTTAATGCGAAAATATTTATATGTATACTAGATGACCCGACAGACGTTGTCCTGTACCCAACTCTGCATTTTTTCAAAATCCTGTTCTAATATTCACCGTTCAGTTAAAATTAATAATTATTGTTTTTCGAATTACTATTTACATCAATAAATGAGTGAATGTAGAACTGCTTCAAATAAAATGATGATTCTTAATTCCCACAGTTAACACTTTAATTATCCCTTTAACAAATATTAAAATATGTTCAATAAAATTATATAATAAAAATCAAACACTGCAATTTATAGTACAAATTTATTTCCAATAGCTCAATTCATTTTAATGTCAAGGGTTATACAAATTTTTAGTCATACCTGTAGGTGTGGATGTAAAAATGAATGATTTTTTGTTTACTCACGACTAAAACATTGACTTTCCAAATGTATCACACAAAAAATCATCGCCTGCCTTTGTGATTTATAGCATAATTTACACGTGTTGAAAATTGAAGTTTTTTATAGGGTATAACAAATTCAGAAAGAATTCATAAATAGCATTCCCGGTAAAGGTACAATATCACATTGGTTTTTTCTACCCAAAATAATGGCTTCAATAATGTTGCCTATAATTTTTATATATTTGTACCATATTTTAACTGGCTTTAGTAATTTTTATATCTAAATTACATTTTTCTCACTAATAAATTTATATACATTATTGCTTAAGTTTATATTTGAAGTGAATTAATTTGTCAAATCCTGTTCACTTGTGCTCTATTCAATCTACGATCAACAAAATTGCAGTAAATGGAGAGGAAAAAACCGTGTGTCGGAAAATAGGCTAATCTTAATCTTAAATTCAGAAGTGAAAACAATTTGCACTCCGTCACCACCCACCGGATTAATTGAATTATAACTCTTTTAATTCTGATTTTATCAATACTTGCAATACACTATTTTGAAGGCAATTAAATGAGGTACAACTTTCTCTATCATAAATTTTACCGTAACTTCTCTTATTTTGAAATGGCAAAGGATTGAAGGACTCGAAAGACATTCTGGTTGTACACTATCAATATTTGTGTAACAGAAAAATAATAAAAAGCAATAATTGGTCAGTAAAAGACCTTGAATTTTCATTTATATACCTTTATACGTATCTTTTATTTTTTTTAAATAGATTTTTTTTTCATGAAATCATGAGCTTTTTGGAAATCCTTTGCACTAAAGTTTTGGTATTTTCTAGAATCCGTCAAGATCTCTTAAACCAAGTTGATTCCAGAGGGAATACGATTATTTTTAATTTTGGTGGAAATGGCACTCAAAAACTATTTGCTTTAAACGAAAAAAATATTGTATGCGTCTTTTATCTTACACGCAGAAGTATTAATTTTAAAGCTTATTTTGAGTACTATAAAACCCCATTTTCATATCTAGCTTAATATTGTTTTTAGAACAATTTATAGAACACCGATTTATTAGGATTTTGATTGATATAATTTTGTTCATTACATGATTTTCGTTTAAATGTATATTTTTAGAAATAATTGCCAAAAACGATGAAAAACGCAAAAAACAACAAATTTTCAGTAGCCAGTAACTTGAAAAGTAATTTCTTTTTTGAAAAACATTATTAAACATTTTTCTATTCTAATTAGTTCTTTTATCGATATCCGACGTTAGTTTGAAAGAGATACAATTGAACCACTGAAAAGAGATGTCATTCCCCCGGGAAGTTGCAAATGATTCTAAATTATTTTTACTTTTAAACTTGAGAGTAAGATGAACCTAATTCCAAAATTTCATGCAAATTGGAGCACATTAAAAATATTCAGACCCAAAATGCTCCATTGTCTTGAGTAAATATTTCGTATCCAATGCCAAACATATGAATTTTTGACACAATGAAACTTCTAAATAATTGTTTGAATAAATAAATTATTTTTGTATCGTGGTTTAGTAAAGTAAGGCAAAACACGACAGCATTTAAAAGTTAAAAAATAATAATTAATCAAAGTGAATTGTAGGCTTAGTTTTATGTGCGATCACTGACAGACGCATGCGCAGACTGCATCACCTGTCAGATGTTGACTGTATCTTATACTAAATCTTATATAATATTATTTTAATTTTTAGCACATCTCAGCTTCTTTTTGGCAATAATAATGTAGTCCTTACATTTTTCTTATTTATAATCATAAATATATTATATTTTAATATTGTCTTAGCCTATAAGTGAATGGAAATGTCTGGCAAATGACAGTCGTCTTTTGTTTTTAATGTCAAACTATGCCTTAAATATTTTCAAGGGCAAACAATGATAAGCGGTTTTTTGTAATTTTTTCCATTTATTTCTACAATCTAACTATATTTCTATGAACCAAAACATTCTAAAAAATTTCCCAAACAAACTTCAGGAAGATTCATGAAAATCCGAATTATAGTTTAGGAGGATTAATGAAACTTACATTGTTACAGAAGAATTTTATATATAAGATATATATATATATATATATATATATATATATATATATATATATATACAAAGTCTAATAATCGGGCATAACCGATTATTAGACTTTGTTAATACATATGTCAACATCAAATTCAGAATCATACAAAATATATATATATATATATATATATATATATATATATATATATATATGATTTAGTAGTTAATTTTGATGTTGAAATATATGAGTGAGTTCTTGAGGGCGATACATCAAACAAAGAAAAGGCAAAGATTTATAAAATAATCTTTAATTCCAAACGTTTCGACATTCAATTTAATGTCATCATCAGTGGATCTAAAAACAGTATGAAAATTAGTATATCTAGGTAATTATAATATATGTGGATTGGTATAGTAATTATAAAATAAGAGAAAAATTAACAAACAGTAACACTTAACAACAAACAAAATATAAAAGATAGGAAATGTAATAGAGACTAGAATTAAATAAATAAATAAAAAAGAAAAAGAATATAGGCAAAAATATATAAGTACACTCATATAAACCTACGCATATATACATATATACACATATACATATATACATATATACATATATATATATATATATATATATATATACATACAAACACACATGCAAACATATAATACACATATACATATACAAATACAAAAATATATACCTATATATGTACACATATACATGTACGACTATACATATATAAATATACGCATATACATATATGCAACGTGCATGCATATTCACAACGACGTACATGTACATGTATGAAACATACATATACTCATACCTATCTATGTAACTATAGCTATACACGTATACATATACATATACGCATAAACATGTATATATACATATATATATATATATATATATATATATACATATATACACCTACATATATACATATACACACACAATACATACATATATACATATGTACATAAATGCTCACATATATATACATATACATACATACATATATACACATATACAAATACATGTATACACATATACATATGTACATACATACAAACATACATGTAAATAAATAATATACATATATATATATACATATATACATACAAATACGTATATATATATATATATATATATATATATAAACATACACATATGTAAACTCGTATATATGTAAAGCAAAAAAATATTTATGAAGATGGATAATACATGTAAAATATAAGTGGACTTACATTACGTTTCTAGGTTACATCTAGAAAAGTGTACACAACACTAGAGATTGGCACTAACATTTATACAACTAACTTGTCAACACCATGCATTTTTTATAATTTTTTGTATGATGTAAACAGAAAAATGGTAGTTTTATTTGAACAAAAATGTAAGTAGAATTATGTAATTTCTGCCACGACTTCTGTACTTTGCGCGTACCGAGGCATGTGTGAGCGCCACACGTGTTTTGAAAGATTTTTAAGGGTCATTCAAGGATTGTTATGAGTGGGTAGGTAGAAAAACGGTCGAAGTTGAAACTAGTAATGTTAGGCTAGGTATGTATGGTTAGAATTAGTTTTTGTTAAGAGGAGAAAAAAATTGGGAATGTTATTTAGTATTACTAGGTAGTTATACTAATAACTCAAATATCTAAAATAAATTTTTTTAAAGGGTTATTCAAAATTTGCTATGCATGGGTTAGTAAAGCTCGGGTTTCAAGGCCGAAGTTAAACTAGTAATGTTGGCAAGGTTAGTATGGTCAGAATTAGTTTTGTTCAGAGGAGATAAATTTGGAAACATTATTTAGTATTACTTGGTAGTTATCGCAGGCAGGAAACCGGACAAAATTTAATAAAAAGACTCAAACAACACGACAATAATTCGAAAAACCCCAACCAAAACCAAACT